ATCATGATGTTGCTTATTGGTCCAGTTGCGAGGATTTTTGTTTTCTTTATGTTGAGGTGTAATCCATACTGAAGGCTGTGGTCTTTGATCTTCATTGGTAAGTGCTTCAAGTCCTCTTCACTTACAGCAACCAAGGTTGTGTCATCAGCATAACACAGGTTCTTAATGAGTGTTCCTCCAATCTTGATGCCCCATTCTTCTGGTACAGTAGAAGGTCGATGAAAAAAGGAAGACTGTCAATGAGATGGATTGACACAGTGGCTGCAACAATGGGCTCAAGCATAACAACAATAGTGAGGATGGCACAGGACCCGGCAGTGTTTTGTTCTGCTATACATAGGGTTGCAATGAGTTGGAACTGATTGGATAGCACCTAACTGTTTTATCATAATCTGGACACATGCTCTAATTTTAAGCCCATGTTAGTCTCTCTAATTAAAAACAAACAGACTCGTTGCCGTCAAGTCTATTCCAACCCATAGTGACCTTACAGGACAGAGTAGAACTGCTTCATACGGTTTCCAAGGAGCACCTGGTGAATTCGAACTGCCGACCTTTATGATTAGCAGCTGTAGCTCTTAACCACTACACCACCAGGGTTTCTGTCTCCTTAATTAGAGGGAAGAAAACCAAACCCATTGCCTTTGAGTTGATTCCAACTCATAGCGATCCTATAGGGTCGCTATGCCCCAGAGTAGAACTGCCTGATAGGGTTTCCAAGGCGTGGCTGGTGAATTTGAACTACCAACATTTTGGTTAGCAGCTGAGCTCTTAACCACTGCCCCACCAGGGCCCCAGAAGGAAGAAAGGAAAGGGAAAATAGGAAGGAAGGATGAAAAGAAGGAAGGAAGGGAGGAAGGGAGGGAGGGAGAAAGGCAGGGAGGCAGGGAGGAAAGGAGAAAGGATTGGCTAAGCCCTTGGAGGACAGCATGAAGCACTAGTGACAGGTTGGAAGCAGTGATGATTTCATCCCATCACAGTTGTTCCCATCTGTCCACCCACTTCTTTCTTGCTATGTCACTTTTCATATATATAAAAATCTATGGTTTCCCAGTGACAAACTACAGGGCTATTAAATATGGCAAGTAGAGGGAATATACCAACACATGAAAGAGTATAAATGAAATTAATCATGTGGGAAAAAAGCAGAATTCAAATGATTATATGTAAAACATAGACAACTAACCTTTAAAAGGACAGATGTAAATTTTGAGTGATGTAAGTAGCTAATGTTCATTTGACTCTTTTATTCTATAAATTTGCTTAAGTTCACACTGAAAGGAAATTTATAAATATATACAAAGTATTCTACAAGATTAGATTAGCTGTAGAGCTAATTAAGGGAAACTAAAGGACTCTGGGTTTAGAATGAAATGATAGGACCCTCTATTATTGGCAACAAGTTGAGGCCCATTCTAGGAATTCTAGAACAACCCATGGACTATGTGATTTCAGAACAATATTCTAAAGTAACAAATGTCAAAGCTTTTTAGTCTCTTCACTTCTTCCTCACTCCTGACCCAAAAAGGAGTTAATAATTTGATTATTTTTCCATTTTTTGCATGACTTTTCTGCCTCTAATTTTAGTTTTTCATTGACTTGATAAAAATGTTTCCTAAAAAATGACAGAGCTTTAAAATTCTCTAAGCTAGAAAAGACCTTGAGTGATTATCTTCCATCTCCCTACCTTTAGACAGTATCACAATAATGCTGATGAAGAGCCATGTTATTTTTAAAACCTCCAGAAGAGAAGATTCTACAACCTCCCAACATTAACAACCCTCACTGTCAGGAAATTCTTCCATATATAATCTAAGTCTCTCATGCTGCTGTTCAAATCACTTTCTACTCTGCAGAGCTGAGTTGATATTGAGAACAGCTGGTGTTCCGTCTCTCTGTAGAAATTCTTCATTTGCTGCCACTGCAAGGTAATGAGATTGGAGTTTCTGTTTAGCTTATATCCTTCTCCAAGCTGATTAACCCCAGTTCCCCAGCCTACCCAGAGAGTTCATTCATACCTTTATCTGTACTCCCATATCACTTTGTGATATCTCTACTAGAACATTATCACAATTTAGTGTCATTATATATTTGCAGGATGGTCTCCCCACCCTTTCTCCTTTCTTATTTGTGTGCCTATCTTTGTGACTAGTACATGATAGGCCCTTAATAAATAACTGTCCACTGAATGAATGAATGAGTGGATGAATGAATGAAATGGCACCCAGATAAACTATTTTCATCTAACCATTCAGGCATGGTTGTGGCTATCCTCTGTTAGTGAAGTTTCTTTTGATAATAAGTGACAGAAACTAAGATCATAGGTGGCACATACAGTTTGCACTCTGCTGCTAACCAAAAGGTTGGCGGTTTGAACCCACCCAGCAGTACCACAGAAGAAAAGGCCTGGTGATCTGCTTCTGTTAAGATTACAGCCAACCTGACAGAGAATGGATAAACCCTGGGAGTATGGCCCAGGACACCCTTTAAGCTCAGTAATGAAGTCACTCCTGAGGTTCACCGTTTAGCCAAAGATTAGACAGACCCATAGGACAAAACGAGATTAAAGGGGCACACCAGCCCAGGGGCAAGGACTAGAAGTCAGGAGGGGACTGGAAAGCTGGTAATAGGGAACCCAAGATCGAGAAGGGTGAGTATTGACATGTCATGGGGTTGTTAACCAATGTCATAAAACAATATGTGTACTAATTGTTTAATGAGAAGCTAGTTTGTTCTGTAAATCTTCATCTAAAGTATACTAGAAAAAAAAAGATTACAGCCAAGAAAACCCTATGGAGCAGTTCTACCCTGTAACACATGGGGTTGCCATGAGTCAGAATTGACTAGACAGCAACTAACAACAACCACAGCAACTAACTCTATTAGTTGAGCAAAAACTGAGAATGTATTGGAGGAATACTGGGATATCTCACAGAATCTAAGGAAGAATTAAACCAAGGCCCAGAAAGGACAAGAGCTAGGGCAGTTCATGCTTTTCCTTAGCAAGAGTTTATGGGCTTTCCATCCAGAGTGCTGCTATGTACTGTAGCTACCAACAACTTCCAGTAATCCTGCTTCTTCCATTTCAACATTTCTAGTTTATGAGAGAGGCAAACTGATTGGCCCGGCTTAGATCAGGTGGCAGGCCTGAGCTAATAAGCATGGGGAGGAGGGGCAGAGGGGAGCGGGGAGCTTTCTACTATAGAAATGTTATCAGGCTGTGAGGAGAGGGCATATCTGTGCATGTTGAGAAGGGAAACGATACATTTTGTAGCCACCACGAGAGGTACCTATACAAGTGGCCATTGATTCCTCAGGCCCATTGTCACTGTTGAGTTCCAGCAAGGCTGTAACAGAGCTGAATAACAAGATAATTCAAACTTACTTTTTTTTTTTTTTCTTTTTCTGCTTGACTACTTCTCTTTAGGCCCTCTGGTACCAAGATTTAGGAAGATAAAACTTGCCTTACTGCATTGAAATGTAAATTTCCTTTGAACTATGCATCAGTGCTTGAACTAATGAGAAATATTACCACAAGATTTACAGCACACAGAAAAATCTTTCTTTCAGAAGTTCAGAGCATTTTGTCATTGAATTGGTAGCAGACACATGCCTGAGATACTGAATTGCAAGGTACAATTACGTACTGGCCAAGACCCAAAACACCCTACCGATTGGCTCAGTATGCCTGCATCATCCTGTCCTGAATTTCCACCTGATGAAGACTCTGGAGAAGCAAGGAAGGGACAATGGATCACACACATAATAATAACACTTTTTCAATTTGAGTTTTCAATTTGAGTCAAATTCTTGCATATCTCACTTTGCAATTGAGTTAAATACCTATGATAGATTAAAAATGGCCACAAATTCTTTTTAGCTCCTGCCATTAAGAGCAGGGGTCAATTTTCTCGCCCCTTAAAATACGTCGGCTGGTCTTGGGACTTGGTTTCGCTGAATGAGGAAGAAATGACATTGTGTGAATTCCACACCTTGGTCTCAAGAGACCTTGTGAACAAGCCAAATAAGACGATAAGAAATCTCTAAATTTCAGGTATTTGCTACATAAAAATAAATAACCAGTATACCACCCAAATGCACAGAAGTTTCCAGAATCTAATATTAGAATAGGGCGCCAATAAGGCAATTACATTAAATATATATTAAAGATAATCCCTTGCCTCTTATTTGTTATGGCACAAATCTATCATTTTCTTTCTTCAAAAAACATACATACACACACATATATATTTACATATATTTGATGGAGATATATATATATATATACACATATATACGTATTCATTACCATCGAGTCAATTCCGACTCACAGCGACCCTACAGAACAGAACAGAACTGCCCCATAGGGGTTCCAAGGAGAAGCTGGTGGATTCCAACTGCTGACCTTTTGGTTAGCAGCCTGAGCTCATAGCCACTGCACCACCAGGGCTCCAACTTATACACATACATACACACACACACACATATATATGGTATTGTTGTGTGCCGTCGCGTCAATTCCAACTCATAGTGATCCTACATGACAGAGTAGAACTGCCCCATAGGGTTTCCTAGGCTATAATCTTTACAGATAAGAAGCCCTAGTGTTGCAGTGATTAAGCACTTGGTTGCTAACCAAAAGGTCAGTGGTTCAAATCTACCAGCTGATCCACAGGAGAAAGAGGTGGCAGTCTGCTCCTGTAAAGATTTACAGCCTTGGAAACCCTATGGGGCAGTTCTACTCTGTCCTATAGTGTCACTATGAGTTGGAATCAACTCGACAGCAACGGGTTTTTTAAAAATCTTTACAAGAGCTGATCACCAGGTCTTTTTTCCAGAGGAGCCGCTAGGTGGGTTTGAACTGGCAACTTTCGGTTAGTAGCTGAGCGCTTAACCATTGTGCCACCAGGCTCCATACGTATCTATATAAATCAAATTTATAGGCAAGTTAATCTTGATTTCCTGACATTTTGTAATAATTTTCATACTTAGAATTTGGCTAATCCACGATTGTTCCTCTCCAGGTTATTTAAGACATTCAGGCAGTCTATAAAATCTTCCTTATAACGTTAGACTTTTCAAAAATTCTCCCTAGTCTTTTTGCATCATTTACTGAGAGAATTAAACTTATGTTTTATACGTTTCCAGTTCTGCTCCCCTGAGTGAGTTATCTGAAAGTTAACTGGGTAGTTGAAATCTATGGACCATCTCCCTGGATGTGGAGATTTGGTTTTCTTCCACTTCATCTTCCCTGACTTCCTGATTTGGAGATCTGTCACAGGCCCCTGCTGTGAGATCTTCTTTATTCTGTTTGCCTTTTATCTTTACCCAGAGACTTTCAAGAATTCTTCTTTGTTCCTCCCATATCCATAGTTACTTTGGTATTTTAATATCTTCTTATGCCTTATCCTGCGGTTCTTAGAGAGACAAGTTTATGGTTGCTTACTTTGAATACACAATGAAAGCAGGGATATTTAATAATTACCACAGAAGCCAGCCCAGAAATTCCCACAGCTGGCCATATCATACACCCTTCTGTACTCATTATATTTTACAATGTTTTCAATAATATTCTGCTTCTCAGAGACTAAATGAGACAGTTTCCTGCCCCCCAAAATCATATTCATTTTGTATGGCTCCACTGTTTATTTATTTTTAATCTAATACCTTTATCGTTCTTATGTCAGTTTCCAGTTTCTGATTTTCTTTTCTCCTGAGATGATTATTTGGTTTTCTATATCTGATTTACTCCTCTCCCCTTTCTCTAAATCTAGCCTCTCTTTTTACCTCCGAAAAGAGATAGTGATCATCCTGATAAACAACAGGCAAAAAGTAAACTCTATGGAACAAGAGTTAACAACACATTATTTTAAGAGATTTCTTCAATTCCTACTATTTCTCCAGGCACCAGCACACCATAGAACCAGCTGCCTCTGTTCACATTCACCACCTGCCATACTAAAAGAAAGAAAGCTGCCCTGGAATGAAGAGGAGAGCGGTTGCTTCATGAGAAGTTTGGGGCATTCTTGACTAAAAACATCAAAAAGAAATTCTTCAAATTCCTTTTATATGATTAACATTAGAAAAAAGACAGACAAGCATTTGACGCCATTCAATCAAAAAACACTTACTGAGCACCTTAATAATATAGTTTACATCTGTATGCCTCAGTTTCTAAGGTGCTTCAAACAAATTATCTCATGTGTGAGGTAGGCAGGCAGATAGTAAACAAGTTATTGTACACAAACGAACTTTATAATATACTATATAAATATGAGAAATAACTATTTCCACTTTACACATAAGGAAATTGGGTCTCCAAAAAGTTGAAAGACTTATCTAATCTCATATGCCTAGTCTCCTGAGTACTATGAAACTTTGCATCATAGTTCCTTTCTGTGAGTCTCCTCTGTACCAGGTAGGTGGGATATATGGAAATCTTTGACTTGAAAAAGTTTACAAATCAGTTACGGAGAAATGTCATACACATAAAAAACAAATTATTACTATTATTATAGCTAACACTTATGTAGCGTTCACCATGTGCCAGGCATTGTTTCACATGTAATGACTCATTTAATCCTCCCAGCAATCTTGTGAGATAGGCGTTATTTTTATCTTTAATGTATAGATGAGGAAATTAAAGCACAGAAAGATTTAGTAACGTGCCAAAAATCACCCAAATAGTGAGTGGTAGCACCAGGATTTGAACCCAGCTCTCTGGCTCCAGGGTCTATATGTTTTACTACACTCTACTGCCTTTCTACAAAACAGTATATGTAATGAATTCCATATTCATGATATAATAAGTGTGATGGAGTGTCAGAGAAGTTTACATTGGAAAAAAATAGACAAGCATTTTTCTCTACAAAAAACAAGTGTAGAAAAGAAATTCTAAATAAGATTTATTTAACTGG